TGACTCATGTAAAAAGGCCCTTGGCCTCTGCTTTCCGCGGTGCTGTGCGCCCAGCTGCTATAATTCAGGGGGAGAGGTACAAGCTCCAGTAGACAGATCTATGGAGCCGGCAGTTTCCACAGGCAGGGCTGCCTGCTTTGTGCAAATTGTTATTCCTGTAGGTGGAAAGGCTGCACATGGCTCTTGCCCTGCGATCAAACTGTAATTACAACTCCCAGCAATTTATGGGCGAATGTAAATAGTGGACATTGGGCTAATTTGCCAGCCAGCCCCTGCAGCCGTAGATGAGGTTCGCTTTTTCAAGGCCGTGCCCTTGACCAACAAGATGTGTGCGATTCGTCCAACACGGTTTCCTGCTGAACTGCAAGCAGAGGCCCCCAAGTCCCCTCCCTCTCACTCCCTCCCTTTCCCTGAGTGGATATGGGGACGCTGTTCCAACTCAGAGCCAAAGATGAACAGGTACCCTTGGAGATCAAGAGAAGGCAGGGAGGACATGTTGGAGAGTGGGGGGCAGGCCCAGGCAGGCCTTGGGGCTTTATGAGAGTCATGGCCTGTCCCGGGCTGGGGTTCCCTGAGGGGATGGTGTGAGCAGAGGAGTGGGGAAGCGCGGTGGTGTGTTCCAGGGGTTGGTGGCCTCGCCCTGGACTCTCCCGTGCCCCTGGGGGACCCTAGACACATGGATGAGCCTCTCTCAGTCCCCCATTCCCACCTGTAAAAGGGCCTCGGTCATCCCAGCAATACAGGCCTTGACCCCTACGGTCCAGGGCTTCCAGGAGGGTTGGGCAGCGCAGAGGACAAGAGTGTGCCATCCCAAAACAGCAGAGAGCAGACACCCCTTCCGGGGTCCCAAGGTGGCACGAACCTGTTCCTAACCAGAGTGGGGCCAAGCCACAAGTGAAACCCCCACCCTGTGGCCCCCGCAGACCCTGAGCAGGCAAACCTCTCCAGAGGGGCCTTCATCATGGGGCTGACCATGGGGCAGCTGAGTCAGACCCCCAAGCGGGGCTCAGCAACCCACTGTCACTCCCTGCCCCCACAAAACACAGAGATGTTTCCAATGCACCTCTTGGGGACT